AAAAAAAAAAAAAGGACTTAGTGTGGTGGCTCACGCCTGTAATCCCAGCACTTTGGGAGGCCAAGGAAGATGGATTACTTGAGGTCAGGCGTTCGACACCAGCCTGGGTGTCGAATGCCATTTGTACTAAAAATACAAAAATTAGCTGGGTGTGGTGGCACGTGCCTGTAGTCCTAGCTACTCAGGAGGCTAAGGCACAGGAATTGTTGCAGTGAGCTGAAATCTCACCATTGCACTCCAGCCTGGTGACAGAGCAAGACTCCATCTCAAAAAGAACTCGTTATCTCTCGTTGGCCCTGCCTAGAGCACAGGACAATTCTGTGCTAGTCATTGTGTTGGGGTAGGGGCTTGGAGAAAACTTCTGATTGGTCAGACCTGGGTCACATGCTCATACCTGGAGCCAAGAAGTGGGGTCAGCCCCACCCAGAGCCCATATTGACAAAGACCTGTTATCAGGAGAGGGGGTAAGGGGAGAGACACCAGGCAGGCAGGAATGGCAGGTGTGCACTGCCCAGAGACAGTGATGGTACCTGTCCCCACCTCTGCCCAGGCCTGGCGTGTCTACAGGCTCTGTTAGACATTCATATTGTTATTGTTCCTCACCTGGTGCCTGGTGAGACATTGGCAGCTGCCAATCCAAAGAGACAGCCAGCAGACACTGCCAAGGGTCAGTTCCAGCCATGGTGCTACCGAGGGGTGCGGTGTGTCAGGCCCTGGGTGCCAGAGCGCATCCACCTGTGTCTTAGTCTGTTTTGTGCATCTTTGACAGAGTACATGAGATCGGATAACTGATAACAGAAATACATTTCTCACAGTTCTGGGGGCTGCAGGTTCAAGATCCAGGCACTGGCAGGATAGGGCCTGGTCTTTCTGCTTCCATGATGGTGCCTTGAACCCTGTGACCTCTGGAGGACAGGAACGCCATGTCCAAACACAGCAGAAGAGCGGAAGAGAGAGAGAACCCACTCCCACAAGCCCTTTCTATAGCAGCATTCATCCATTCATGAGGGCTCTGCCCTAAGCTCCTCCCACCAGGCCCCACCTCCCAACAGTGGCATTGGGGGTTAAGTTTCCAACACATGACTTTTGGGGGAACCCACATCCAGACCATAGCAGCCTCCGAACCACCATATCCACCAGACGTTTTGCTGGATGGCCATGAACTGGGTGGCTCCAGGGAACTCGGGAGACCCTCAGAGGATCAGCTTGATGGGCGCATGGGAGCTTCCAGGCTGAAGGCTCCTCTGAGCTCAGCTCTCACAGCTGCCAGAAGGTGGATTTCATGAGCACAGCTCAGGGACCCCTCCCGTGTGGCACTGCAGTGGCAGTGAAGAATGCCAGCCCAGCCGGTGGATCTCCCTACCTCAAGCCAGGAGCACCGCGGTGCATGTGCCAGCCTGGTCTAGCGGGAGTCATAGGCCTCTCTGCATCTATTTCAAGGTTGTGGATTTCAGGGCTTTTTTTTTTTTTTTTTTTAAACCACCCTGCAAAGTAGGTCACCTGCTCCTCTTCCAGCTGCCTTTAAGATTCTTTGGAACAAGGCAGTTACTGTCCTTTGATTCTGAGGACATCTGCCTTTCTGGCCCTGAGGACCGCTAAGGGGGGCCAGGCAGGTCTGTGGAGGACACTGGCAGCCGTGTGGTCTGGGTCAGGTAGAAGCGAGGGGAGGGAACAGAGAGAGTGGGAGGAGGGGAGAGGAGATGAGGTGGAAAGGGCCAAGCAGTCGGAGCCCCTGTGTTGGGTCCCATCCTGGTTCAAGACTCTGAGCTGGTAAGTTTCAGACCATTTTAACGGGTATTCACTCGAATTTTAAAATAGACCATCCCCAGCCAGGCGCAGTGGCTCACTCCTGTAATCCCAGCACTTTGGGAGGCCGAGGCAGGTGGATCACCTGAGGTCAGGAGTTCAAGACCAGCCTGGCCAGCATGGTGAAACTCTTTCTCTACTAAAAATACAAAAATTAGCCAGAACCCGCTTGAACCCAGGAGGCAGAGGTTGCAGTGAGCCAAGATCGTGCCACTGTACTCCAGCCTGGGTGACAGAGCAAGATTCTGTCTCAAAAAAAAAAAAAAAAA